GCTGGCCAGAGTGGAAGGATCCTCTGGACCCAGCACCTGCTTCCATTTCTCTATCACCTGCATGTATAGCTCTTCTGCCTCCTTCCATCGTCCTTGATTCTGGTATGTTAATGCGAGGTTGTGCACGCTGGTCAGAGTGGAAGAATCCTCTGGCCCCAGTACATGTTTCCGGGTCTTTATCACCTGCACTAACAGCTTTTCTGCTTCTTTGTACCTCCCATCGCTATCCAAGCAGGTCCCCACATTCTCTATGTAGTCAATATAGTGCTCCTGATGTTCTTGAAACTCATTTGCCGCCAATAAAAATAGCGCATGGGGCAGGTATTCCCTCCAAAGCTGTCGGTTGGTATGATCGTTATTGGGGAAGGTCTCGCTCAATCGGCCTGCTGCTTTTCTTATATAAAGTGTAAATTGATCCGCCTTCTTCATCCAGTTCCGAGTTGCCAGATGCACCAGGCGATGTAGAGTTATGGACCCATTTCCAGGTTGAATAGTAATGAAAGAGTAGGCACTTAGAAGCCCAAGAGCATCAATCATTTTCTTTTTTGATGTCGGCCGTGGAAGGAAGGATTCTGGGATATTGCGTGGATCAACACAAGCCATGCGTGATAAATAGTCAGAAGCAAGTTTATCAAGCTTCTGAATCTGATGAAAGGAGATTAGCCATGTCATGGCTACTGGGTTCTGGGTATCCTTGTAGCGTCCATCATCACCAAAATCCTCACTTAGTAGTTCCACAACATCTGCCTCCTGTTCTTGAAGAAGCAGCAAGTAATCAGACACTCCTACCCCATTTTCGTTCATGTATGCTGCAGCTTGGGAAACAGCTAATGGAAGGAAGGTAAGCTGTTCAAGAAGGGTAATCATAGCATGATGATTGTTAAGCAGGTTTTCTTGAATCAGTGATTTTTCCAGAAACTCCACACCAGTCCTTTCATCGAGTTCGCGAACATGTATCACATCAGAGGATGCCAGTTTCACAGCTAACTTTCGATTACGAGTGGTGAAAATAATACAACCCTGGGTGTTATGTGGAAGCGTGTCCTTTAATGCTGAGGTTGTACTGGTGTCTTCCATCCACATGTCCAAATCATCTGCGTTGTCAAAGATCAAAAGCCACTTCCCATCCATTTGGCTAAAGTAAGCCTTGATACAATTTTTCATCTCTGCTGGCTTCGCATCTTGGATCCCTACCATCTGTGCAATTGCTATGTAGGCCTGCTCAACAGCCTCATAGCTGGTGCAAGGGATCCAGAAGATTGAACATTCAGGTTCTCTGTCTTGCATTCGGTAAGCTAGCTCGAGAGCTACCTGTGTCTTCCCAACTCCCCCTAGCCCAGTAATGGCGAGCTTTTTTGCTCCATCAGGCATGGACATCAAATCCTCTAATTTATTGATTTCGTCCTGGCGGCCGACAAACCGTGGATTTCTTCCAAAGGGAATCATTAAGTGACGGTTTTTTCTTGCATCTATAAAGCATAGTAAGATATTTGATATAAACTGACTTCTACTGGTAGGTAGTCCACTGACCTTCATGGTTTACAGGCCTCCAGTACTCCAAGAAAGCTTTTGCCGCTGAGGCTCCAGTTGCTGCTGCATATGCTTGCCATGCTTTGCTCTTGTGGCTGTCTGCATAGTCACACACACCTTTAATAACAACACATGGAGCATTATCCCACACTCCTGCCCCCTCCATCTCAAACCCAATGACCTCCTCCTTTCTGCTTATGGCATCACGGTGTTGTCCTGATTTCATCACTTTATCAGCCGAGCCGACCGTTCCAATATGTACAGAGATATTAGCTGCTTTGATGGGTTCTCGACGACGAATCACTTGATCATTGTCACATCCGAGATCTTCACAATTTTTCTCCAAGGCATCATGGCAAATACTATCTGGTACACTACTCTCCAAACAGCAGCACTTAACAGAAAAAGTCTCCCCATGATGCTTGTGAAGATAAGAAGCCTTGAAAAGAACATCATCAACATCTGGATGTTGCCACCTTGTCCCCGCTTGCTGAAGCGTGTGAAGATACTGGAGTACCTGGTCCTGAAATTCAATGTGGGAATTATAAGCCTGAAGGCTCTTAAGGAGAGTCCGGATTTCTCGATCTGGCCTGCCAAGTGTGTCCTTGACACCAGTCTTTTGCTGGAAACCACTGGGGTATTGTCGGCCAAAGTCGTATTCCATCACGGTGTCACTGATGATAATATCACCGAGAAATATTTCATCATACTTTGGTGGTGGTGGAGCACCACCGCAGATGCCAACAACTAAAGCAAGCTGGATGCCAGTGTAGCTGACTCGTAGGCTTGAGGCAACACTTGCGGCGCTTCCTTTTCCCATGCCTGGCAAGTAGCACAGGACCGCATGATGCTTGCCAATTCTTCCATTGATATACGCGTTCACATCGCCTGGTTGTTTGCCATAGTGTTTGCCTAACCGATCGTATGTTTCATCAAAGAGGGCTTCGACGGCATCAGCCTCGAGGGGAAGGGCGCAGATAATCGCGATCGCAAAATCATTCCGGCTTTTCGGGCGCATTTCAGCTAACAACGCGGGTTATCAAAAATTTCAAATGAAGGTTTACGCAGGTTCTGCTGTGTCAACGACTAGATGGCGAAAATATCAACGTCTGAAACTGGAGGGTAAACGGAGCTAAAGTCGCGGGAGACATGAGGCTGTTTGTCCGCAGCCTTGTGATTGCACCCACCAACCACATGGCTGCAATAGCCGCCCATGGAGGGGTAATGCATGAGGCCAGCATCATGCTGTTTACTGAAGCAGCCAATGATGGATGTAGATACAGTATATGCCTTTCTAAGAGGCTGACTGGTAGGAATGGGGGATTTTGAGCTTGTCTGGCAAATTGATAGTCGCTAGCGTTGTACCTTTCCAATTGGTAGCGTGTTGGAAGAAGCCAAAACATGACTATGCTGTTGTACTTGTTTGCACCGAATCCTGACACATGTTTGGCTCATCAGACGAAGCTTCTAGAATCTATATGGTCTTTGGGTGTTCTGTAAGTTTAGGAGTAATGCTTATCGAAATTAATGACAGGGTGAGCCGGTGCCTGTCAAGAAGCGTTAATTACATACTGTGTATGTACTAACTTAATAGAAGTAGGTTAGGGTTGGGGAAACAATCTGGAAGAGTTTTGGGTGGGTGCAGTGATGCAACGCAATGTATTCCATTCATGATTTACGATCCAATTGCTTGGTTTCTAAATGAACAGCTCCTTATACCTGATTTCAGGGCGATCCAACGCTAGGCCTTGAATCTGTGTTCATTTCACACAAGGTCTCTTCATCATCTCCAATCAAAATTCCCTGACATGGAGAATCCGGGACTGCATTACTCTGGTAACCGCTGATATCACAGGCTGAACAACAACCAGGAAAATCGCCCCCGCATGTTTCATCCAAGACCATTTGCAGACCCGTGATTGTTCTTTCCTGCATCTGTAGCGTATTTTGCAGGGTAGAAATCAGTTCACCTTGCCACTGGTTTTCAAGGAGAATATCATCAGTATTGAATGCTCTTGACTGACCCTCATCACCTGGAGCCAATGAACGCAGCAACGTCTCATTGACTGATTTTTGGCTTGCAACGCGAGACTCCAACTCTTGTATCTTGAGGCTTGCAATCACAAGATCTCGGTGCAGTGTTCGTTGGTTTTCCGTCAAATTTGTGAGCGCGGACTCGCGTTGCAACCTTGCCTGCTCAGATTGCTTGATAACAGACTCCAACCAGGCGCAGTGATTCAAAATTTGTCTGTTTGTAGCCTGCTCCTCACGAATTCTAGACTCCAATTGTTTTTGGTATTGCTGTGATCTGTTTTCCTCCTCGAAGATACTCTTCATCAATTGACAAATGGCCTGGGACTCGTCATTTCTTAGAGGTGGAATCTTTACTAGTCAGAATCTAGTCATACATCAAGAGATCTCACCCTTACCTGGAAGGTGGCCATTGTTCGAATGCAATATTGTCAGATTTGGTTCAGGATAGCTTTCTTTTTTCCTTTTTCATTCCGGCTTATTTGAAGAAAAGTGCTGGATATCTATACATGTAGATTTTGGAAAAAGGTTGCACAACCACATTTGCCGTACTCAATTGGTAGAGCGAAAGTCTGGTATTCTCGTGACAGCGAAGGGAAGAAATCACAAAGTGTTCCATTGAGCCACATATGCCGTGCCCAAATGGTTAAGCAGAGTACTCTTTTGGTAAGACCATGTGGAGAAACTCCACTTAAAACATCTTATCTGTCGTAAAGAGCATGTGTGTATATTGTAGAAGTTTCATATCATAGAGAATGCAATTTAAATGCATTCATGACCGAAGGTCAACTAACAGGGGACCTCAGACTAGCCGATCAAAGCGTCTACTTGGAATGATGCGTAAAGGCTGCAAGGACCAGACTCTATTAACTTGACTACCCATTGGTTTGAGTGAGCGTAACCATTGCGCTGCGGGTCAACGAATCTTTGATAGTGGAACAGCGGAAGGAGCAGGGTCAGGGGTGGGGAGGACAATTAGTCTGTCATCTCATGGGGTGATGTACGAGGACACTAAGTTGGAGAACTGCCGCATGGAAGTAGATGATCATCCGTGACACCCGAATCGGCCAACGTGTACTTGAGCCAAGGGAGAGTATTGGCTGGCTGACCAGCCCGTTGCTAGACCCACAACAGCGCGTCTGCCGGATTTATAAATTAATTCCGAAATCAAAAAAGGTAGTCACTGACTCGCAATAGATGATGGACCAATTGGGGAAGGCTAAAATTATCCGAAGTGCATAGTGGAGCCTTTCGTCCAGGCATGGTTCCTTACCTAAATTTCCTTGGCACACAAAAGTACCTCTTCCTCCTAAATGGGGTAATTTAAAACAATATGCACCACACCGTGGTGACTTAACCACCCAGACATATTATTGTTACAAGCAACAATTAAGAACCATCAGGCACCGTCACGAACTGTTGTCGGATCGTTGGTCGTAAGGCCCACATAGACCTTGTTTCAGATAGTTAGGAATCGGCCATGCATCTTAGTACCACACAACTGCTGGTGATTTTGGTGAGCTACAGCCTTCCGAAACCAAAAGGTATCGCAGGAGCCAGAAACTACCATGCTCTATTTGATTAATTCCAGCCGGTATTATAACACAGAAGATTCCAGAGGAAGGTGACCCGAGCAGATATGCGGCAACAGAGTCTGTCCAAGTGTAAGTGTATAAAGCAGGTGCAATGTCCAGGAAAATCTCTGGAGAACTGTTCTTGGGCCTGTGATTCGGTTGGCATAGATAAGCGTGGGCGATTTCCAATGCCACTGTCGTAGAAAATCACCAAGCATACTCACAATATGTTGCCAGGCGACGAAATCGCCTGGCTTGATGTAGGGGTTAGCGAGGGTACTATTATTATTATTATTTTATTATTATTATTCATACACGCATCTGTCAGCCCTATAGGCCGAGTGGCGGCAGGTCCTGCGGGGCAGCCGGGTAAGCCGCCGTAATGGTAGTCGCTATGTACATCGTCGCCTTTATACACATATCCTGATATCTCATTCCACATGCTGTATAGCCCATGCTGCTGGTTTTCATGCCACTGTTCCCATGGCCACAAGGATCCATGGGCTTGTTGGATACTATCTCATTTCCTTCCCTACTTCTGCAAGTGTGTAACCTTGGCTGCGTTATGCTGCCAGTTTCCCCAAGTTTATTGTTGTGACTCAGTATGTGGTTGGTAGAGTTTGAAACTGGCCTAGGAGGCCTGTCTCAAGCATGAAGTGCACTGCTTTTGGTACCAGGTCTGGCTGTGTTAGGTAGGCCTGGTAATCCAGCTCCTGCCTTGATCCCTGTGTAAGATGGCACATCCAGGGTCCTGCCTGGTTGGTACAGTGGAGGAGAACATGGTGTTGTTACAGACCTAGCCACATCAGTCTCACGTGACTATGCGGGGAGTCAAGGCAGAATCATTGGATGATATATTATGATGGAAATGCAGAAGGGGACAAGGATCCTA